AGTGTGACTTAAATGTATCAATTAATACTACATATACTAATAAGATGCATCTATATTTTGATAATTCGTTACTTAAGAATTTCATAATTAAGTGTGCATGACTTAGAACAATTTAAGGATAAAAACCTTTTTAAAAGTTTGTCAAAATGTGTGTGTAGGATGATAAACACACACTAAAAAGTCTCTTGTTCATTTGTGGGGGCAGTCATTGATCCTAAAAGTAACTAGACATCTTAAAAGAAAAAACTATCCATGAAGAATTTTGATTGGTGAAGAATATGACTAATAAAGAGTTATGTGAAATTCCACTGAGTGAAATTTCATTGCATGCAATAGTTGAGATGTCGAATATAAGGGACATTATAAACATTATCTCTTTGGTGTATGATGATCAACGTGGAATCTCATAAAGTTATCCAATCCAAACATGGGTTATTGTTTAAAGCACACTACAAAAAATAAAGCTTAATCTGTGAGATTTTTGTATAATGCGTAGTCCAATAACATAAAGTTTTTTTGCTAACAGATTTTTCATAAAACCTTATTTTAATATTATACTTTTTGAAATCTAACATACAATGCTCACCTAATTTTTCCATTAAAATTAACCTTATAAGAAAGTTGGATCAATATTATATCAATGATTAATGTATCACATCTATAATCAATTATCGACATTGGATAACAAGATGACATAATGTATAAAATTTTGACAGTTAAAAAAATATGCAAGTTCAAAAATTGAGTGTCAAAATTCATAAAATCATTAAACTTAGATGACAAAATATGTAATCAAATCAAAGAAAATATTTGTCGATAATGATCTTTATTAGTGTGTTTAAATTATCATGTTAATTGTTAAATGTGTGTCATATATATATATATATATATATTGCATAAAATATACTTAAAAAAAAAGTTGAAGTACTTTCAATCGCTTAAAATAAAACATGAATCCAATTTATATAAATATTGGAACACAAATATCCACTCTTCAGGCCATCATTCAATATTTTTTTTAGCCTTTCAACAGATGAAACTCATCACTTTTATTTAGTTTCAAGATCAAAATTGCCTATCCATCAAAATTAACTATGCTATTTTGTTTCATTTTTGCATTCTAATGTTTAGTACAAGTATGGACAACGTGAATGAGTAAATGAGGAAGTGATCGACCTTGTTGTCGAAACAAGTATAGACACCGTATGACAAACACGACTTTTCCTATTTTAAGAATTTTTTAGAAACTTGTCTATTTAGAGAAATTTTGAAAGAATTGTCCTTGGATAGAAAAAAAAATGACAAAAAAAGATGAAATTTATCTTATTAGAATATAATCGAAACTTTATTTTGAGCATGTTCACATCTTATAGAATATTTTATTATATGGATGAAACTTACTAATCAGAAAACAATACTAACATTTATTTAAAAAACTTTTATACTATTTATATGTGCTGTTATTAAATACAAATCAGATTTTTATGACTTTATGAAATTAATATATAAATTATATAATAATATAATTCTTAATTTTGCTATAGTGCCATAAGGATACTAATGAAATAATATATAACAACTGTGACACCTTACTAAACTAAACTGGCATTATTACTATTATTGCATCTTCATTTAAGTGGACGATATAATCACCACATGCAACAATTAGTCTTAAGTAAACTCTCTTATTAGTTATTACTAAACTTAATTAATTTTACCCTCAGTTACTCGCCAATCTTAATCTAGGCTATTTTATGGACATTAACTTCAATTATAACTATAATGTGATAGATCATTAATTCTTATTCAAGCAAATATATAGATTATATGATTGTTGAGATATAAATAAAGTTTCATATTATAAAAATAAAAAAAATAAATTTTTTTTATAAAATATACATATTTTATTAATAAAAAATCTTTTAAGTAATAATTAAAAATAAAATTATGATAATAAAAATAAATAATAAAATATATTCCTCTTCTATATATATAAATATATATTCCTTTCAAGTTTCAAAATAAATACAAACTCATCCTATATAACACCGTTAAGTAGAATGAAGGTGACATATACCTCAGAAACTGAAGTCAAGTCAATATCATCTACTGTTGGTGACTGCAAATTATCAAAGGAAGGATCATTTGTTACTAATAATGCCTATTTAATTACTATAAATATGTTCTTGGAGCATATTACTATATGCTTCGATAACTAGAACTGGAGTTGATTTTTTTTTTCAACTAGGTTTGTCAGTTCATGACTCAAAATTTGTTGTTTTACTCTGGGATTGATTTTGGGTGCAAAGTTAAATATGTAAGTAAATTTGACTTTTATTATGTGGTTGAAAATAGGTTATGTTGTTAGATTTCGAATTTATAAATCAAATTATTAAAACTGAATTTTAACCTATTGTCTATCACAATATTTTTTTATAAGTTTGAACAAATCTTTTTAATTAAAATTTGGAATGATGCTTATTTTATAATTAGTCTATTTAAAAAATTATTTTGTATTAACAATGTTACATAATTTAATAATTATATTTTTAAATACATGTGTAATTCTTTGTTTAATTTGCATATTAAGTCTTTTTTAATTTGTATAATAAAAAATAATTTACTTTATTATTATTAAATTTTAGATTTTTAAATAAAAAATAAAATACGAATTGTGGGACAACTCATGCATATCCATGTACACTAACATACATTAACGTATAAGTTATATTGAAGAAGATAATCTTATTAAAAAAATCTTTCTAAATATTTTTTATATCACATTTGTAATATCCTAAATAATCAATTATGAACATGAAAGGAAAAAATAGGTGAAGATATATAAAATTTTTATTTTTGATATCTTAGATTTCACACAATCAAAGAATGTAAAATGTTTAAATACAGTAAAAATGTAAAAAAAAATATTAATAATTTAAATTTTTGTATTACAAATTTATTTATTTATTAATTATACTGTTAATTAAATGTCATATATTAATTTTTATTATACCATAAATAAATAGATTGATATTTCAAACTCAACAAACTTTTTTATAAGTTTGAGTTTAACATTTTTAAATAAATAATTTTAAAAAAATTTAAATTTAACTTTTTTATTAAATATAATAAATAGACTAAAGTTTGAATAGACCAAATCTTAAATCATTATTTAATTTTTGACCTATTTTTATCCTTAATTCATTGGTTTCAATAACCTATAAATAAATAATAATGATTGATAATAATAAAAACATATTAATAACGAGTATTTGCGAGAAAAAAAAACTTATAATTAATTGTAATAATTTGAGACAAAATTAACATTGATTAATCTAAATCAACTAATGGATAAAACAAATATTTTTTTTTTATAAAAAAAATTCAAATCAAATAAATAATCGTAGTAATTTGAGACAAACATAACATTTGATCCAAATCAATTAAAGGATCTTAATAAATATGATTCTGTGATAATGAATTAATTATATTTTGAAAAGAATAATGTATTTATGGAAAAAAATTTCTACAAGTTTTGCATATTTATTATTTTTTCTTTATTTCTGTCCATTACATTCTCTCCTCTCTACTTTTTTTTTTTTTGCACAAATTTATCTTAAATTAAAATCTTAAAATATAAATTAATAGCATGATTCTTAAAATCATTTATAATTAGGTGACTATATATTCTGATCATTGTAACACAATTATGATTGATATATTATATAATCACAAACCGTGAATAAATTGACCCACAATAACACACTATAATAGGATATTTCTCAAGGTTTGAATGAATTAAAATATTGAAAGTGGAACATGCAGTAGTCTTAGCCATTAACGTCTCTACAAGAGAACAACTTGTTTACAAAATTAAGACAGGAGAAGCATAGTGCAAGTAAGTTTATAATCTTATTTTCTTCTTTCATGTTCATAGACGTTACTTGATGGCATTAACTTTTTTTTTCCCTTTATCTTCTCTTGCACTATTTTATATATAATTAGTATTGAATTGTTGATTCAATGGTAAAGGACTATAGGTTTTTAAGACTAGATGATAATTAGTGTAAAATTCAATTTAGTATTCTAAAATCTTGATAATTCATGTCATATACATTATTTTCTGCATATTAAGTGTTATATTAGAAGAAGAAAAAAAATGTCACATGTGATGTTAACTATTAATTACTTCTTTCTTATTTATATTCTTAATAATATTGTATGGAAAGTAATTATTGTATTATATTATTTTTAATAAAGAAGATTAATTTTATAAAATTATTATTATTTTTTATCTATTTATTATTATTTTTGTAAAAAAAATAATCTTAGACACATTTGTTATAAAACAGAGAGAATAATAATTTTGATAAAGCCTTATTTAGGAGTGACTATATTACATATTCTTAGTGACGGATCCAGCTGTGCAAAGAGGTGCCTTCCACCCTTTTGTCTCCCATTCTTAAAATCTTTGGAAAAATGTATTATGATAAATTATGCTTCTTATTTTAAATATATACAGTAACTATTAAGAAAATATTTAACTTATTATTTAATTGGCTTTTTCTGTTTTAATTGTTATAATTGATAGACTACTTTTACTTATATAGATGATAAACAGATAAATTTAAGAAGAAAGTAAAAGATAAAATTTTCATTAATAGTTTAATTTTATGTTGAGAAATTGATTAAAAGTTGATACATATTTTATAACGTTGATGAATTTTATAGTTTTAAAAATGACATTTATAATTTGAATAAACAACATGATGCATTTAACGATTATAATTTACAAGTTATTTAAATTTATCATTAAAAAGAAATTTGACGTCCCTGCATATTCTCTTACATGCCTATAGTTTCCATTTTCATGTGACAAAATACTTTTGTTTTAAAAAAATAATTAATAAAACTTACGTGCATGTCTAGAACTATAATGAACTAAACCTTGTTGAACTTGTGTCGTAAAATTAATGCAGGTTCTGCATATATATGTTAACATGGCTACTGCTGGCAACCTCCCAAGAAGACACGACCTCGTTGATCCAATGGAGTTCTTGTTTGTGAGGGTTGCAAAGATCAGAGACTTACCATACACCCTTGATTCTTACGTGGAAGTAAAACTGGGAGACTTGCATGCTTCAACTTGTTTCTATACACCCCCAGAATGGAACCAAGTGTTTGCTTTTGAGAAAGATTCGATCGATGGCTCAGTCTCAAACATGTTGGTTTCGGTGAAGGACAAGAAGGCACCTTCGAAAATGTTTGATGCATTTTTTGGTTGTGTTCAGTTCAGTCTCATTGATGTTCCAAGGAGTATGTCACAGGAATCTTCATTGGCATTGGCACCCCAATGGTACAGGCTAAAGGGTCAGGATGGGAGACAACTTGTGAAAGGCGACATCATGTTGTCTATGTGGTTTGGAACTCAGGAAGATGAATGTCTTCCTCATGCTTGGTGTTCACCAACCACAAGTAATGATGCTGTTGCTGTTGGTCATACTCGTTCCAAGGTGTATATCTCACCAACACTTTGGTACCTCAGAGTCAATGTGGTTAAAGCACAGGACTTGAACTTGTTCAGTGCTCCCCCAGAGAGTTCAAATGTTTTTGTCCAAGTTGATTTGGGGGCACCAACGCCAGATAACAAAGCTTTGCAAGAGTGAAAATCCGTTGTGGAATGAGGATTTGGTGTTTGTTGCACAATAGCCATTTAATGATTACACACTTGTTCTCAGTGTCAAGCAAGGGACACTGGATCAAAACTGGACCCTGGGAAGGCATGAGCTGAATTTGAAAGATGTGGATAAGAGACTAGATAATGGGCGTGTGAGTAGCAAATGGTATAACCTTGCTATGTGTTCATCATCAGGGGAAGTGGAGTTGTTGTTTGCTGGTAAGATCAATGCAAGGATCTCATTAGATGGTGGCTATCATGTCATGGATGAGCCTGCTGAATGTTGCAGTGACTTTAGGCCTTCAGCGAAGAAGCTTTGGAATCCTTGCATTGGGGTGTTGGAAGTAGGGATCCAAAAGGGTACAAATTTTGTGGCAATGAAAAGTGGAGCTAAAACTGATGCTTATTGTGTAGCCAAATATGGGCCTAAATGGGTGCGTACAAGGACAGTTATTGGTAGCCTCTCACCAATGTGGAATGAGCAATGTACTTGGGAAGTGTATGAGCCTTCCACAGTGATCACTATTGGTGTGTTTGACAACAACCAGTTAGATGCTAATAGTAGAGCTAGAGGAGTGAGGGATGCTGCAATGGGAAGGGTAAGGATTCGGTTGTCAACACTTGAAGATGGGAAAGTGTATGCACTTTCTTATCCACTTATAGTTTTGCAACCTTCTGGCGTGAAGGTGATGGGAGAGATTCACTTGGCAGTGAAGTTTTCTTGGTCATTCAAGTCTCAACTTCAGAAGTATGAGTCCTATATGTCACCTTTATTTCCCAAACACCACCATGTTTTTCCATTGTCTTCTTCACAGCTTCTTATTTTGAGATATCAACCTGTTCTTATTATAGCAGAGAGATTGAGCCAGGCAGAACCACCATTAAGGAAAGAGGTTGTGTACAACATGTTGGATATTAGATCCAACATGTGGAGCAAAAGAAAAACAGATGCTAATTTTAACAGGGTTGTTAGCCTTGTTGATGACTTTGTTGCCTCTTGGAAATGGTTACAGGACATAAGAACTTGGAAGAGACCAAATGCTACATTGCTTTTTATCCTTGTGTGCTATGTTATGCTCTTCTACTATCCAAAACGCATTTTGCCCTTGCTGATCTGTTGCCTCGTGTGTGTTGTGTTTAAGCGTTATTTGAATAGGCCTAGGCTTCCTTGTCACATAGATGCAACATTGTCTGGTGCTGATGTGGCAACTCCTGAAGACTTGGAAGAAGAATTTGACAGGTTTCCTACTCAAATTGGAGGGGTAAGTTTAAGAAAGAGGTATGATAGATTGAGAAGTGTTGCCTCTAATGCACATAGAGTGAGTAATGACTTGGCCTCAATTGGAGAGATGGTGCTAGCTGTTTTCACTTGGAGGGATCCAAGAGCTACAATGATATTTTTGATGTTCTGTGTTGTTGGTTTTCTAGTCACAATTACTATCCCTGCTAGAGTTATCATTTTCATTTGGATCACATACTATCTTAGACATCCTAGATACCGAGGGTGTGATTTGCCTTCTGCTTCTGTGAACTTCATCAAGAGAATACCCTCTGGACAAGGTTCTATACTATGATCACATGACATGGTTAATTTTGTATCTTTTTTCAATATCCGTTTTTGCTAATCGATTATAGTAAGAAATTTCAAGTTACTGTTTCATTCAAATCATTTGTATGGTATCAGCAAATTTAATGTGTTCTCTGCTGTGAACTAGATGGTACACAAGCTCTTTTTTTGATGATAGAAAATTTGCTTTGTGTTTAAAAATATTATTTTAAATGAGTTTAAGAGAAAAAAAAATCTCTAATAATAAAAAAATTTGGCCTTCTCAAGCCAAATTTTTGGCCTTGCTCCTATTTATACCTGACACATATCTACATGTAGCACTTCTAAAAAGGGCTTTATTATTCATGTCACCCAACATTTATCTATCTCTCTTCTTATCTTATCACATCACTAATCATATTAATTACTTATTTCTCCTCTCTATGGATAAAAAACTTACCTCTCTTCTTTTTCAATTTCTCTCACATGTTTGGTATCAACAAAACAATAAAGAAATAAGGTGAGAAATAAGATGTATGATTTGGTTGTAATAGGATTGTCAGGTAAGAAATTAAAAATGAATGAGTCCCACACGTTTTTTATTTCCTCGCATACTTGTATTCGAATGTGGATTTTTTATTTTTTTTATTATTATTCAAATGATATGCTAGTTATTTATTGGGCTTAAATTTTTTGGAGGGGCTTGCATGACAATTCGAATGTCTATGCGGTATGCTAGTTATTGAATGGGTGCGCATAACAATTGGAATGAACTTGCATTTTTTGTTGGGCTAGTATTCAAATATGGAGGAGCTTTAATATTTTTGTTTGAATGGCTATGTTCTTTATTCTAACAAACAACATTCCAAGTGAAATATTTATTTGGTTGTATTCAAATGATATAATATAACCAAATAAATAAGGTTGATTTATTTAAATAAAAAAATTAGTCAAATAAATAAAGATAGGCAATTTAAAACGGTAAAATTGTAATTTTTCTTTTATAACTTATTTTATCTCTACCCATTTAAACAAAATAATTTTATAATATTATTTATATTCTATTCTTACTTATTTTTTTAAAATCAAACAAACTCATTTTTACCTTATTTCTATTCACTTATTTCTTTTTCTTTAATTTCTTAGCTATTTCTCTTCTCACAACCAAACATAATGTCAAAGTGTTTATACTACACCCAAGGTGTGTATGATATTTTTTATATCCTTAAAATTAACAAATCAAGAAATTGGATACAAGTGATTAATGTGTTAAACTTAATGTCGAATTGTTTTGACAATATCAAATCTTGATGAAAATTATCTCTTAATTGAATCAGATTAGTTTAAGATGAAACTTCACGACACTAGTGCAAAATTAAAAGAATATCCTTAAAATTAACATAAATTCTACCAAACAACCTTATAAATTTAACAAAAATGACTTGTAAACATCCAAAATAGTGAAAGATAAAAGTGAAGAAAAAATATATAAGTATAATAGATAATATAATGTGATAAGAGTAAAGCAAAGAGAAAAAATTAACATTATTTAGATGCTTGAAAAAAATAAAATGTTCAAATTTCATTACTATGTATTTTTAGAATTTTAGTATAGTTGATTTTACGACCAATAGCATTTAACTTTGCCACATTAGATGTAATTCGTTTTTTTAGAGCAGATTTAATTTGGTCAATATTTAATTCTAAATGTCTCATTGTATTATTTACAAGGTGATTGGTATGATGTTGTAATATTAGATCTTTTAAGGCACGTAATTATATAACCCAAAAAGACAAATCCCTTCGATGATGACATACCAACTACTTACATTTTTTTTTATCTAAAAAAACTATTCCAAAATACCTATTTATTAAGATATCATAATCACTTACTAAAATTAATATTATTTATTTATCTTAAATAGAATGCTCAAGGACCAAAATCAGCAATTTCAAATTTAAAATGGATTAAAATCAAAGATTCTACTTTTTTTCATAAAAATTTAAACTTACCCATTTTATTAAGACCAAAAACAATAATTTTAGAAATTGGAATTATGAAAAGAAAAAAAAAGCCCAAAAACCAAATTTCATTTTACAGTAACTACACATATTTAATGTTATTTTTTACGTTGTTTCATATCGAAGTTACATAATTGTTCAATTAATGACACTGAACGCATTAAACATTTTTGAGTCAACAAGGCGCGGAAACCAATTACATAACATGAGAAAGAACCTCCCTGTGTGAGTCCAAATGACCCAAAATTTGATGACATAATTTCATAGCACTTTACTGAGCAAATGGCATGAGGCAGTAAAAGAGGTAATGGATACTCTGCACAACAATGCCAGCATTCAGACAGATTTCTGATCCCAGGCCAGCTAAGAAATCAGTGCATTATTGCTCCTCACACATTATGCACTGCTAACTGCTTTCCCCTACCATTAAGACCATAGCTACCCCACCCTGCACATTGGCCCCAGACCCTTAACTTTTACTACTGCAACCTTGTGTGCTACCAAACAACCAAGTACAAGAATTGCCTTACTTCACCTTTCAAATTGTGATACATATCTTTCCTGTTCAAAACAACACTAAAAAACTAGTACTAAAACTTTTATCAACATTTTTCATTAACTTTTACAACCCCACCCCCCCACCAGTTTTGCCTCATCCATTTTTTTTTTCTTTTTTTGCTCATTTTGGATTTTAATATACATGATTCCTAGAGTTGATTTTCAAAATCCTCACTCACTGTTTTGAGAGATTACCTCTCCAAACTTGAGGAAGAGTTGTGCATCTGAGGTGCTCATTGAGGGGCAGTTCACCAAGTGTGGAGTCTTGAGATTTGCATATTCGTCCATGTAGCATGGCACTTTGGCTGATGGATTGGAAGGTGGCAGTGCTTCTGGTTGTTTCGGTGGGGTGCTAGATGGCATGAGGCTTCCGAGTACACGTGTCACTTCATGCATTGTAGGCCTATCAGCTGGCTGTCTTTTTGTGCATAGTAGAGCAAGCTGATAAACCTTTTTCACAGCTCCTAAGTCCTTGCATGTAGCAGTAATGTCTGGATCAACTGTTTCCATTACAGCATTGGTTGCTGCCTTGGACAAAATCTACACAAATAAGAGACATTAGTATGTGAACAATAAACAAGATTAAGGATTAACAATAAGTTGAGTAATGTTTTGGCAAATAAGATTTGCAATGTTATATCGTAAGCGCCAACCAAATCCAATTTTGAGTCTCACAAAACAGGTATTCTAGCATGCCTAGAATATCTAGACCAATGATAGAGCAAAAAGGCTAAACATAGAAAACTGTGTTTTTACTGCGTCTGCATGCGTGTGTTGAAATGTGTAATAAACTCACCAGATGGTGGAGGTTGGATTCATTGTCAACAGCTTTCCTTCCAGTTAGCAACTCAAGTAAAACGATACCATAACTGTACACATCAGACTTCTCAGTGAGTCGAGAAGTTCTAGCATACTCAGGGTCTATGTAGCCAATTGTGCCCATTATGTAAGTAGAAGTGTGGGACTTTGTGGGGCAGAGACTTTTGGCAATGCCAAAATCAGTGAGATGGGGCTCAAAATCTGCATCTAATAAAATGTTAGATGATTTCACATCCCTGTGGATGATTCGAGGACTGCAATCATGGTGTAGATAAGCAAGCCCTTGTGCTGCTCCAAGTGCTATTTTTAGACGCAGAATCCAGTCAAGTTTTTTCTTCTTCGTAGGTCCTGGAAAAAGGTGCACAAGAAAGCCATACATTATAAAATCATTGGTTGGCTTCTAAATGTTAGGGGTGGGATTGTACTATATGCTACCTTATGAATTAACGGTTTCTAAAAATATTTTTTTATGGACGAGGACATTACGACATACTTCTACATACAAGTTTCATGCACATCAACAAAAGTCAAAAATAGCTTGAACATACCATGAAGAAGATCCCATAGACTGCCATTTTCCATGTAGTCATAAAACAGAAGGTGGCCATATGGAGACAACGAGTAGCCTTGGAGACTGACCAGATTCCGGTGCTTAATGCTGCCAACTGTCTTGAGTTCAGTTTCAAATTCTTTAATGCATTGGGGATAGTGAGAATAGATCCTCTTGATAGCCACTGGCTTGCAATTCTTAAGAACACATTTATAAACTGTACTTGATGCACCATATCCAATTATATACTTCTCACTCAGGTTTTCTGTCATCCTCATGATATCTTCATACACATGAAGTGCCATATTCATATTAAGAATCACAAGTTTTGGAGGGGAGTAATTAACTGTCAATTCCATAGCTCATGCAGTTAGTAACTTGTCAACTTTCAATAAGCAAAATGATAATAAAATATTATAAGAATATATCAAACTCCACAAATTCCTATACAGCCAAAAGCAATCATGTAAACTTTAATGCATACTGTTACACAATCCAATCAATTTCTAATTTTCTATCACTGCTGGTTTAAAGTCATACACTAGAGACAGTTGAAATCCAAAAAAATCCAGTTTTCCCTTTGAATCTATGCTAGATAAAAAAAATAGCAATGATTAGGGTTTGATTATCTACTAATTTGCAATTCTGGAAGTTGAAAGCTACAGCTTAAATTGTAAGAATGCAACAAAGATAAGTACCTGGTTTGTCAAGTGATCCATCAGAAAAAGGAGATGGATTGTGCGGTCGGCAAGCAGCCAGCAATACCATAAGAAGAATCACAAGGGCACCAAGAGTAATTCCAAGAATGGCAGCCTTAGATAATGTAACTGCACAGTCAATAAAATATATTAGCTTATTCTGCAGAACTTGAAACACTACACCCTTTCTTTTTTGAATAAAAGAATGTCATAGGAAGAACACAGCAGCTCTTTTAGACAACTTATTAAGCATTTTGAAATATAAAAGCAACAGTACCATATTCATGTGAATATGAACACGAGTACATGACATCCTTACCAATATTGTATTTAGTTTTTTTTTTAATATATAATACAAGCATGTTTTAGTAACTTGTGGAGAATAACTTGAGTAGAATGTAATTCAAAGGAATTAGTTTGAACAAATAGATATTGAGCTAGGAATTAATTTGGTGTGAAACACTTCTGCTTGGATAATGATGAATAAATATAAAGGGAACAGGACTATCAATATTAACATACAAAGGCCACAATTGATCACATGAGCCTCACCCCAAATTACTAACCAGTCCCGTTACATTTCACCACTTCGACATAGTATAGTAATCAAAGAGAATCAATGGAATAAATAGCATTTGAGAAGGCAGAGATTTTATGGTGCTCACAGGATATTCCTGCTATAAAATTCAGCTTACCTCGCTCCGAAGGGTGAGAACCATGACACGGCAAATTCAGCCAATTACCACAAAGACCAGGGTTTCCAATGAAACTGCAATGAAAAAGGTTGGACTCATGAATCCAGAACAACTTGTTTTTGAACTTAAAGACAATGTCAAAACGGAATGACCCTCACCTGTCAGGGGGAAACCTGGTAAAGTTGTTACTCGTGGGGATAACACCAAATAATTTGTTATAAGACACATTACTACAAATATCACAATAAATACTCAACTTATTAGGTAAAAGTGACATGGTCAATTAGAAACGTCACACAAAATCATTAAAAAATTGAAGGCTAAACTTACAGCAGAGAGAGACTAAGGCAATTTGAAAGTGATGCCACATCACCAGTTAGTTTGTTTCTTTCAAGTCTCCTGTATATCATTATAAACCAAGAAAATTAGAAATATCAATGGAATATTATAATTACCAGAGACAATAATCATCCACCATATTTTACATGTGAAAGAAAAATGGTTAATTTCTGAAGTCATTCAAGTCCTATTGAACAAAACAGAAGTCTATATTGAAGTTTGATGAAGATGAATAACTATTCATTATTGGACATATTTTAGAAACTAATCACTATAACCCAAAAAGATAAGAGTGAATTAAAAAAAGAAGTAAATTCCAGCATCCAACATTAAACATCTTTGTGTAGAACTTAATATTTAATACAAGAGATCTAATTACATCATGGGATTTGCCTAGCCATTAAAATACCATAAAAAATAAATAAAATATTAACAAAAACATAAGTGAATATAAAACAAAGAAAGATGCAAAAGAAGCTTACAAGGATATCATGTTCTGAAGCTGACTAAGCTCTTCAGGAATCAAGCCAGAGAGTTGATTATTTGAGAGATCACTGTGACACAGAAGCATGTAGAACAATCATGAAAAATTAAATAAATAAATAATATATATATATATATATATATTTGTTTACATAAGAAAAATAATGGACTTACATTTCCATAACACTTCTAAGATTTCCAAATTCTGCTGGAATAACTCCTGTTAAATTGTTTCTGCTCAGATTCCTAACAAAATGAATATTAGCTCTCAGTAAGAAGAAATAATCCAGATTCTAAATAAGGCTAGGCAGATAACTCACAACTTCAGAAGATGTTCCAAGTCACCAAGGGAAGAAGGGATGGAACCAACTAAATTATTGTTTGAAATATCCCTAAGTAGGAAATCATCTGTTAGTACCAATTTAAAGATGTTGACACAAGGAGATAAATTAAATAATTCATACTTACAATGTATCCAAATTTCCAATCCGTGACAGTTCAATAGGAATTGCGCCCTGAAGGTTGTTGGAAGAAAGATTCCTAAGGAGGACCATCACAATGTCATGAAACAATAAGAACCAATTAAACAAGAGTTATTGGTTGAAGCATGACAGAAATCCGGATGTGCATGCAGGCATATGTTTGTGCATCAACATGTTTATGGGAAAGAAAGAGCAAAAGAACCAAACACAACAGAATTGCAAGTATATTCAAACAAACGTCCCCAATGTGTCAAGGTGAAACTTACAAAGACGTCATGCTCTCCAAGCTCTGCAAAGCAGGGGGAATTGTTCCATTCAAATTGTTCCCATGCACATTGCTAAAAGGATAGAAAAATGTGTCACCATAATGTATTCCAAAAATAACTTGTTAAAAAGTAATAGTACAATTTTTGTTTCTTACAGGCTGTTGAGATTTTTACAAGAGCTAATATTACTAGGAATTGGCCCCACAAGATTGTTGTTAGCAACATTTCTGAAAGAATGATGGGTGAGTCATCAAACTTAAAACAAAACCAAAAAAAAATTGACACTTCAAAGTAACCACTCTTACAAGTCAAACAGATCAGTAAGCTTTCCAAGCTCAGGGGGGATATGTCCACTTAAATGGTTATCATTCAGTTCCCTGCAGCATGATAAACATTAAAGGTTAATTCTTTGAACCAAATTCCATCCAGTTGAGCCTGAAGTTTATGAACCCTAATTAACTTTAGAAATGATTTAAAGACAAGATGATGACTTGTATACATGAGATGGAGGAAATTTATATCTTTAAGAAATGACTCAAGGCAATTTGCTTTTCTTCAAAGAAAATCAACTAACAATTGAAAGGTTCCACATGGAAGGTTGTGAAATTCATAATGAAATAATAAACAATTTTAGAGGAAACTACTTGCTCAAGCATCTTACAAATAGTGAAGCTTTGTCATATTTCCAAGCTCTGGAGGTATGAAGCCAGTCAGCTTGTTTCCATGCAAGTACCTACAAAAATTTCAAAAATCATGCTCAAAACACAGTGAATCTAGAAGTTTTCTCAAAAGTTGTTGACATGCAGAATTTACAAGAAAAGAAACTAATTGATTTAAATGCAAAACCACTCATACTTACAATTTTTCTGTGTAGGTCAGATTTCCCAAAATAGGAGGGATTGGTCCATTCAACATGTTACAACTTAAGTCTCTGGATTGGAAATTTGGAACAAAAGCAACATTAAAAGAACATCAGTGAAAAAACATAAAGTCAATGACCAAATTTCTCAAATTACATTTCTGAAATTACTATCAAACAATTCTTACAAGACAGCAAGTGCTTGCATGAGGCCAATCACCGATGGAATATGTCCAGAGAGTTTATTGCCTTGCAATGACCTACCAAAATCAAGCAAATCAATCAAGAAATTCCTAAACAAGGGAAAGTGAAAGGCCAAATAACATTATTTTAAAACAACTTAAAAAAGGGATCATGCAACACATACAAAGTTGCTACTTGCAAGAATCCAATATTAAAAGGTATCTCTCCAGTTAGCTGGTTGTAAGATAAATCCCTGACATCAACAGAAGACATTAGAAAGGTAAAAGGGAAACAAGACGAAGGTATGGCAAAGTCTTTCATGTAATTGGATTACATACAAGACCTGGAAGGCAGTACAGTTGCCTATGTTCTCTGGAATACTTCCTGTCAAGCTATTGTTTCTCACATCACTACAAAAAAGTAGGAGGAAAACAATCATGTTCCCTTAGGAGATGTACATTTTTATGTCTTGGATTATAAAAGAGAGTGATTATGCAACTTACAAATACCACAACCCAGTTAACTGGCACATGTCTGGTGATAGTGAACCAACCAAATTGTTCCCTCTCAAGCCCCTATTATATGGAAAGGGAAAGGGGAAATTTTCAACAAGATCACAAGTATGATTAGTCCGATAGAAACAGAACTAAAAGCTTCAAAGAAATAACAATTTCATTTGCATATTGCTTATACTCACAGATATTGCAAAACTTCATTCCAATATATAAGCCTTGGTATTTCACCGCTAAGATTATTTTGAGCCAGGTCTCTAGAAAATAGTTCCCACGGGTCCAGAATGTCAGTTGTAGAATCTAAAATTAGTGTTGAGAGGATGGGAAAGGGGAATAAGAAATACAAGAATGACTTACAGAATCTTCAAATTAGGAATCTGAGACAATGTTGAAGGAATTGGTCCAATCAACTGGTTATTTTTCAAAATCCTGAGATACAAATTAAAACTTACACAAAGTAAAAGAACCTGGCTATAACCTGATGAAAGGATCAAAATTCTCAATTGTAGAGAAATGCCAATAAAAACTCACAGATTCTCCAGTTGTTTCAACTTAGAAATGGAAAATGGTATATCCCCTCTAATTTCATTAAATGACAAGTCCCTGAAAACACAACAAAAAATCAAAGTTCCAAGTAAGTCACAAGGTGCTCTAATTATAAACTGAATTAAGTTCTTTTAGGGGGAAACATACAAACTCTTTAAAGAAGAACAGTCACCAATCTCATCCGGTATCTGCCCTGATAACCTGTTTTCTCGGAGGTCACTGTACCAAACAAGTGGAGAAAAGGATAAACAAGACAATACAAATGCCACAACTACATCACTGTCAAAAATTGGCTAAAGGATAGTAATAATTACATAGAGACCAAACTCTGAAGGTTCCCTATTGCAGGTGAAATTTCGCCATCAAGATTCAACCCTGAAAGATTGCTGCAAAAGAAAAAAAAGGTAAGAGAAAATATGAACTGTTTTTTTTTCATTGACGAGGAACAAGGTCAAGAAGCCTATGTAAAATGACCAAGGACACAGTAACTCACAGTGCAACAATATTAAAGGTGACATTATCACATGCGATTCCTCTCCAGGCACAATAATCGGATGATGGTGAGTCTGTCCAATCATAGAGAACATTATCCACATCCCTGAATGACTTCTTTATCTCCAACAACGTTGCCCCTTCAATGGCAATATTCAAACATGAACCATGAAGAACATAATAAGAACCTTGAAGTCAAAGAAAATCTGGTACTTCCTTATCATATAAAAAAAAATTCACAGTCCTGATACCATGTTATTATATATAGACTTGTATATTATATTATACAAACCTCGTGTTAATAAAAATTCATTTCTATAATGAGAATCATACATAAAACATTCATAAGTAGTAAAAATAACATAATACATTCTAACAACGTGGAAATTGACAACTGCATTATAAAGAAAAATCACAAGATCCCAGAAAACAACCAAGTCAAACTCAGCATTAGCGGGAAAAAGGCGCTGACTTTTCAAAGACAAAAATGGACCAACTAAAAGCAGCAGAGGAAGTGCCATGTTTGGTTGCAAAGAAAGAGAGAAGTAAAAAAAATTCAGCTTTACTTTTTTTTCCAAACACCCTTCACCAAGAAAAAAGAAACAAAAGAAAAACACATGAAGGGTACTTGGCTTTCTAACAACGCCAGCCATAGCCATAGCCACAGCCACAAGCTACAAGCCGGATACCACTTTGTTAAGAACCACAAAGCCAATGTTTCAACTTTCAACATTCTAATCTTCTCCTTCTCCCTCCCCATAAAGTTTGTTAACAAAATTCTTTGCAAAAAGTCCAAACACACAAACAAAAACTTTGAAACTGCAAACAACACTCACCATCATCTGATTCCCCAGAATTGACATTCAAACAAATCAGCAAAGCCAAAATAAGGACCCCAAATCGAAATGCCATAGCTGCAACTGCAGGACTTCAACCTCACATCAACCTAACCATGAAACCACTCAACAACCACCACCAAGCTCCTTCCAAAAGCTCTTGCTCATGCACAAGGAACCAAAACTAAACAAGAAAAAGGGTCTTATGCTTTAACAATATCAGTGACAGTGAGCACCACTCAACTATGGCCTCACATAAAAGTTAAGTAAAGTGAGTTTTGTTTGAGATTAGTCCTCTGTGTACTCCTCATACCCTCTAGCTCTTTCATGTGATTACAACAAGGGTTGGATTTCCATGTAACAGAACAAGCTCACAGCTTTGGCTGTGCCATCACATCACAAACATCACTCTCTAAACAAGATGCAGGAAGAAGAAAAAAGAAGATAGATAGAGAGAGAGATAGAGACAGAAAAGAGAAGAGAGATAGAAGAAAATTATTTCACACATAAAGTTAAAACCATCTGCCACCATTTCTGCTACAAACCTGCAAACTCTGAACACGCTCTCCTCTCTCTATCTCTTTCCCCCTAACTTTCTCTCTTTTTACACTTGTTTCTCTCTCTCTCTCCCTAAACTGTTATGCCAGTGCTATGCCATGTAGTAAATAACACTGTGCACTGTGCACTGTGCTATGCTGTGCCATTGGTTTTAACTTTTGATTCCCGGGGGTCACTTTCTGTGTGGTTTTGCTATTGCATTATCTGCAAGAGCTTATAGGGAAATGGGTCATCTAATGCAAGTACTGGGGACACTCACATACATTTTTTTCATCATTTTTATTTCTTACTTACATTACTTTATATTACTTCTAAGTTCTAAGTACTAATAAAATAAAATAAAAATATGCATTTTCTAATGAGTTAGTTAATATTAATATAAAAAGTGTAAACAAATGATGTCATTTTCAATGAGTAATGCAATCCAATTGAGGTGACAGGGACGTCTTTCTCTTTCTCTTTCTCTTTATTGCCAATCTATTGAGTATTGAGCATTCGGTTCATGTTGGTGATATTATGAGTTTCTTTTTTCCTTTTTTTTTTTCTTTCAAAATTATTAGTATTATTCTTCTTATTTATCTCGTTGACGCGTTGCTCTCTCTCTCTCTCTGTCTCTCGTCGTCTCATTTATTTATCGCATTTGTTTGGTAGTTATGCATGCTAGTGTTAATTATTAATATAGTCTCTATTATTCTTCAAACGAATATTTAAATAGCAATGTTAGTCAGTCTGATTCATATTGCAATTGATTCTCTAATGTCAAGAAGTTGAGTTCAAATTTTATAGCAAAATTAATTAAAAAAAAAATAACTGTTAAAGTTAACGTTTTAATGTATAAGATTTATTTTGATGAAAAATAAATTTAATATTATTAAAATATGCCGAATAATGTGTTGATGTTCCCTTAGATTCTATTTCCTTATTATTCCTAATTATATTCCCTTGTTTTTCTTATTTTTTATATTTTATTTTAGCTTTCTAGAGAACTCAATCATGTTATTTTATTTCTATAAAAAAAAAAAATTTAGGCTTTGTGTATATAAATAAATGCATAAATTACTCACTATATACAAGGGATATACCACGTGGCTTTAATTTGATAGATTTATCAAGTTATTTACCTATTATGGCTATATTGTTAAAGATTTGTTCGTGTATATGTGCACATTATTTACTATTATCCTGATAAACATCGATAATGTTAAAAAAGAAAAATAGTTAAAAGGGTTTTTTTTTTTTCATTTACCTTACTGATTAAACTTATCTTTTTTTTATTTATTATTAACGATATTATTTTTGAAATCATATCAATTAGAATTCATTATGTTGAATTATATATAAATGTAAAATATTTACTTATATTTTTTTTATTAAAAATATTCACTTATTTAATATTTTTAGATTTTAAATTATAATATGGTGTCAAATTTATTTTTATAATTTATTCACTATTTATTGTGTGAAACCCAATATAGAACTTCCTAACCATTATTATTAATGAGTTTCACAAAGTGGTTAAATATGAAAATAGTTCTTGTAATGACCTGTCATAGTCTCTACACTTAGTAGAATTGTACTAATAAACTAGTGAACTAAAATAAAATATTAAGCTGGATACCAGAATATACATATGAAGGAAGTAATAAGTATTTATGTACAAAATATAGAACTATGCATATACAGTCATCCAAAATAATACTATCCTAGTGTCGGTCAAGCACAACAAACAGTTACCCAAGATGGTAATTATAATACTGGAACAGAACTCCCCATCTCGCAGCAGACATCGTACCAGCTCCAACCTAACTCTGACCTGCTCCCCATACACAGTATGATCATCGCAGTCCATCCACATGGAAATAGAAGGCTAAGTTAGAGTCCAAAAAGCAATCATACAAGTACAAAATAAAAATCTATACTACACATTCATCCAATCAAGTCCCAACGGGACTCCCATCTCAATCAATCATCAATTCATCAAACATGAAGTCAACACCACACACTTCATCATACTAGAAATCATGTAATAATGGTAGCTCATGACAGATATCAATGCATATTAATCATGTAATGCGTCGTCACACATACACCTAGGAGATCTCCCTAATATTAGAGCAGTATAAGTGACATCCAAATCCTATCGAAACCACCCCAACCATTTTCACCCCCAATACGCCCGCTCGATCACAACTAATCAGGATATAAATCATCACTCTGGTTTACTCGGATGATGTCACTTAAACACTTGGAAGTCCGGTTCCACTGCCAGGTATAACACAGCTGAGTACAGGCTTACCACGACCTTGACATGCATTATCAAGTCACTTGTGGAGTTCGCCTACCGACTATCCGCAAGGAACCAAGCACCTTCCCCGGTACTTGATTAAGGGAATAACCCTCGACCTCATACCCCACTCCAACACTAGCTAAGGAGTTAGAGGAGACTCACCCAAACCAGCGACCTATCTAAGCACCACTTTTACCCAAAATCAGTGGCATATCTAAGCACCACTCTCATTTATATCAGTAGCCTACCCAAACACCATTCTCAAAAAACTCTATGTGAGCTCTTCCAATTCAAAAATATTTCTCTCTCCTCAAGTCCTAGGCTAGACACATGCCATAAGGCATCGCATGTAATAATGCATCAATACATCATACATGGCCAATCCACCATCATGATCAATAATCATCCTCATATGAACATATACTCATTTCATATCATATTTAAACATTCATACATATCATTACAAAGCATACATATGAATCATACACCACCATACATCATATATCATACATACATGATCAAATCTTCAATTTTAAACATGCATAAGCATCCTTTGAAATCAACATTACTAAACATACTCACGCCCGGCACAGCCAACTCGCGCCCAGCCTAACATCCAACCTGAGAGCTTTAAGGCTCATTCACGCCCGACGCAATCAATTCGCGCCCGACATTCTTAAGATAAAGACTCATAAGAGTCTACACGCTCGACGCACCCATCCTGTGCTCGACCCCATCTAGACAGAGACCTCTAGAGGTCTCCACGCACGACGCACCTACCCTGCGCCCGACGCCATATCAATAACCTACTAGACAAGGCCACTATCTGATATCGCACCCAGCGTGGTTCTCCTTACGCCTGGCGTGAACTCATCCAAAGGCTCCCATTTACAATCGCGCCTGGCGCGACTAATCTCGTGCCCGTCGTAATCAAGAAATGGTTGCCCCCTGATGAATGCACGTCCGGTGCCAAAAACATGCGCCTGGCGCAAATTCATACAGTAGCCTCCAAAACATCGAAAATTTCCATCAAAACCTGAAGATCAACAAATCTAGTCACATGCAATCCATGAACCATAACACATAGGCTCCACACAACTCTAAAACAAACTCAGATTCAACATGCACCCATCTGATGCATCAAAATCACTAAAAATCCCATTTTCCCCAAAACCTCGAAAAATGAGAAGTCCTCCCATTCAACCATTGATTCTCAAGATTCATGCACCAATCAACCTACATTCTAACTTCCCTCACCTGAAGATTGGCTCAGAACAACCAAGAAATGAGAAGGAGAAGAAATTCCTCCGAAGCTCAACCTGCGGACTTCAATCCACCAAAAACAAGCTTCCTAGCCTGAATTCCAAGAAAAGATAGAAGACATTAGTGATCTAGAAGAGAAGAAGAATCAAACAAAGAAATTTGGGAAAGAAAGGAACTCATGGACCCAGAGCCCTACTCTCTAAAACTTCTCTCTAGAATTTCTTTCAGAATGAGCTTATAAGGCTCTATTATCAGAGGAAGTTTTATATACTCTTCTCTTTAGTATCCACTAAACTCTGAAACCCACTTACTACGTCACAACTCCTACTTATGTGATTAAGCATTGAGAGTTGTTTTTTTACAAGATTAATCACATTTCAGGATTTTATTTTATTGATTTGATTATGTTTCTTGACTCCCGCATTTGAGATTTTTATTTTATTGATTTTGATTGTGTTTCTTGATTGTCATTTTATTAAAATATATATATATATATAGTCTCGCAAAAAAAATTCATTTGTTTGTTCCAAGATTACCATGATGACATAATATATACTAAATAACAAATTACTTGGATGTGATTAAAGGTGGAAATAACTCACACGACCTATCAAGGACCCGCAACCTTGTATATGACAATGGGTGATTTAAACTTTTTGGAGAACTTTTTTAGTTAAAATGAAAATGCTTTAGGATTTAAAAAAAATAATAATAGGCCTAGTAGAATCATCTATTTAAAATATAAAATAATATTATTTATTATATATCACTAGTTAAGTTCTATAGGTCAATATGAAAAAAATACATTTCAATGTGATTTATATTTTTATCTTTCTTAGTTTATTCAATAAAATACGGTATTTAATTTAGTATGAGTGAATTCAAATATGAAAACATTAATAATATAATTAATATTATTCTTAAATATCTATAACCAAATATTATTGTTAATGTCAATAATATATTAAGGTTAGTAAGAGTAAATTAATGATTGTCATAGTTATGACATATTGATTCATTAAATGTGTACATGATTAATGTAATTATTAACTTGAATGTCTCATTATAAAAATGTTACATATAAAATTTTGTTTGTGTTATAAGTGATTCCTAATATAATAATATTGTATAGTCTTTGAACTTGAAGTCACCATACGATTCATACATGAAAAGTATGTGTTAATACCAACAATGTATATAATAAGATGTTTATAAAATTGGTTATTAATTATATATAGAACAAATTGTAAAGACAAATGTGAGTGATTTAAATAAGATTTGCCCCTCCTTAACATAAGTATTATCTAGATGTACCATCTTTATAGAATAAGACAAATTATGCATAATCATGTTAAGTAAATAAATGTTAAGTAAATCAATATGATATATTAATTTGTAATATTTTCTCAAATAATCTTATTTAGTCGATTTTATTAATAGTTTGAGCAAATTACATGACCATAGTTTAATTGTATTAAATGATTGTTATAATAAATTTTATTTATAGTTTCTTTAGATAACTTGATTATGTTATTTAGTTTTCTTAAATAGCTAAATCATAATTTTAAATTCTAAGATTTTATTTATTTTGTATATATAAACAATTTTACAAATCCTTTTTAAAATAAAAATGTGTGCAAATCATTCCTTTTATCTCTCGATGAATATGAAATGATTTTAATGC